TTATAAAAATCACATTTTATATTGTCTCTCTCTCTCTGTCTCTGTCTCTGTCTCTCTCTCTGTGTCTCTGTCTCTTATCTGATTGTTTTCTACTGTGGAAATTTTGAAAGCTTTTCTCAATGATTCAGCTGTCTCTTTCAAACTGGGACACTGTCATCACCAGAAATCGCCTTGAGCGTTTTAGGGGGTAGTCCTCGATTTGGTTTTCTTTGGTCTCTAGGGAAGAAGAATCATGTCTTGGCATTAGAAAACTTCAGTAACCCTTATTACTAACAAATATTATATAATACTTCTGTGAAATGATAAAAGGAAGTGAGAGATTCCATGGAACCTTCACTCTGTTTTGAGAAAAAGAAAACAACCCTTGTTGCCCTGCTGACATTCCCTGACCGAAGCATTTAGTAACTACTTCATTACCTTGTTGAATACACTGCTTAAGGTTCAGTTCAGAAGTTACATAATCAGACTCCTTACAGAAAAATGATAATGAATTCTAAGTTTAAAAAATATTTTTATTAAAATTTTTCGTTGTTAAAAAAATGGGATATACCCTATATCCCTGAAAATAAAACCTAGCTGGAAAATAAGCCCTCGCATGATTTTAGGTGCCAAAATATGGCACCTTGGCATGCTGAATATTTTAAGCTGAAGGAGTTTGTGGAAAAGGGCACCCTTCTCCCTGCAACAGGTCAGAAAACCCTCATGTGAGGGGTGCGTGCCCTCCACATCCTGGAGGAATCATGCTAGGGCTTCCACTCTGGGGAAACTCGGCAGTGGTATCAGCAACTACTTATTGTTTTGGAAGTGTGTTTGTTGATCTGCAAACAGTAAGACAGAAAGCCCTCATGTGTTTTCCTCCACTTGGAAGTGCTAGCCCCTGGAAGTAAGACATTGCATCCAATTGATCCTCCAAGTGTAAAGACAGATATTATGACCTGAAAATGGCTCTTCTGTAGTCTTTGAGGCGTGGTCCTTTTGTGATGGACAGAGTGTAGAGTTTTAGGGCTCACCTTTTAAAAGCCCTTCATGTATTCGTGTTCTCGATGCCTGCATCTGGCATTTTCTGAGCATTTCCTAGGTGCCATTCTGATGGCTAATGGCGTCCATCTGATCTCTTTAGCCTCCTCTCCTGATTCTGACTTTCTCAGCTACTTTAGTGACCCTGAATTGCGTATAGTTAGTTCCCTGTCCTGAAATTGCTGTTTTCCCCTGACCTCCTTTCACCCTGTGCCTGGAAAACTCCTGGGCCCTGTTTCGGACTCAGCTCTGCCTTGTCCCCTTCAGGAAGTCCCTCAGCCCGGCAGCGTCCTCCTCTGGGTGGCTCCCAGTCCTGTGCACACTAGATATACTACCGCTGACGTGTTTACATCTCCTGGAAATACTCGCACCCAGGATGAACCTGACCACTCACTTTCTCCCTGCGTTGCTAAAGAAAACTCGCCTGATGAGGGAGATGAACGTCTTCATACATTCCCGCTCACCTGTGTCCAGGGGCCGGCAGCCCTGCCCAGGAATGGTCGTGTTTCTGTAGGAGGTGGTCTGCCCACTGTTTGTAATGATTCCCATTCATTCTCCTCTCTTTTCAGACTGTTCCCCATGCCCAAACTCTCTGTAAGTGACCTTGCCTTGTACTTCCTGGGCAAAATACTAATCTGGTAGCAACTCTCTCAGCTTTTCTGCGTGAAATCTGCGAACCCATTTGTACTGGCACGGGCTTACTCCTTACTTCCTGTTCCAGAGAGGGAAGGATGTCTACTCCGATGACAGGCCAACACCCATGTGTGGTCAGCATCCCATCTCCTCCCACGTTAGAGACTGCGACCCATCTTATCTGGACTCTTCACTTGGCCGTTTAGATGTGCTCATGTCTCTTAAATACTGATCTTCCATATTAAAACAAACCACAAAAGAAACATGCTTTTACTTGACCTTGTGTTCCCTTTTAGCAGTTATCTTTGTGTTGACCTTCATGGCTGTCCTTCTGAAGAAGGGTTGTTCCCACAGATGTCTCACGTTCAGTCATTCACCAATTCTTATTTTGGCTTTTTCCCCCACCTTGCCATAGATACTGCTAAGGTCTCATTCCTTCTTTAATTTCTCCTCAGCTCACACAGTTAAATCCTTTTCTTCTTTCATCCAACCCCCTGGGCAGCTTCTTTCCAAGCCTCTGTTCCTGCCGTCGCCTGCTCTTGCCTGTCCTGACCGAAGTTCTAGGACCTTTTCGTTCTGTTCTCTGCCACGCCCTGCCTGTGTGCTTCCTGGCCTTCAAACAAACACCGTCCACGTGCAGACGACTACCAACTTCGTATCTCTGGTCTAGACTTCTTTCTATGCTGTGGGCCTGTGTCTCTGTCAGCTTGTTTTACTAATAATTTGGGTATCTCCCAGCATCTTAAATTTAAAATAACCCTTTACTTAGTGCTTGTTCCCAGCTGCTTTTCCTCAAAATTTTCCCATTTCCATAAACAGTCATCTTATCTATTCGTGTGCCCATGCCAGAAATCTGGGAGTGATGCTAGAACCGCCCACATTTCCACACTCAGTCCATCATTAGTTTGATTCCACTTGCAAATATATCTCCAGTCTGTCTACTCTCTCTTCCTGTTGTCACTACTTTACTCTAAGCCACCGTCATCTCTTGTATTAATAATATTCTAGAAACCTCCTAACATGTCTTTCTCCTTTCACTTTTCCTCACCTCTAATCTCTCTCAGAGAAGTCAGAGCAGTCTTAAAGATCTAAATATCGTTGTGTTAATTCCCTGCTTTAAACATTAGTGGCTTTCTGCATACCTAAAATAGAGCCCCTTTCCCTGGGCCCACAGGGCTCTGTGTGCTCTGGTTCCCGGCTTCACTCAGCTCTTTCCAGTCGCTGCCTTGTTCTTTATGCTCCAGCCAGACTGGCTGTTTGCTCTTTTCTATAATAATCTTAAGGCCTCACCTTAACCCTTTGCCTCTGCTGGTTTCAGGCTGGAAACAATCTCACTTGTTCATTGCACCACGAATTCCTTCTTGTCTTTCACATCTTCGCTTAAATGTCATTTCTTGGATGACGCTCTCCCTGAGCTCATTTTTCCTTATCTCTCCTCTAATAAATCCATCAGTATAGCCCTACTCTCCTCCATTCTGAGGAATTACTGGGATTTGCAATTATACATCTACTTAGGGGTTCATGTACCCTTTTCATGTCTCCCCACTGGACGGGAAGTTCCATGAGGGCAGGGACTTGACTTGTTTTGTTCATAGTTGTAGCTCCAGCTGCTGGAACCGAATGCACAGCATATATTTGTTTAATGGAAAACAGGTTTTTTTTTTTTTTCCAGGTGGCTACTTGGTACGGGCAAGTGTGGTTTGGTACTTTTATTGCAGTGCTGTGTGGTAGTTAAGCCTGGGCTCACACATACACGATTTTGAATCCCGGTTCCAGTTCTCTGTGAACATGAGCAGTGATTAGCTCCCGTGAGCCTAGCATGAAATGCTCAGCTGACTTCTTTCTTGAGTGGGCCAGCCTCCACGGAAGATGTGTGATATGTAGGTTTATTCAGGAAACTAGATGGCTAGGCCCGTGTGCGGAAACTTAGGGAAGGACCCTGGTGCCTGGTATGCCTTAGATTGATATGAGATCCCTTTCAAAACGTGTGGCAGAACCTCCGACATCTGCTTTGCCGAATGGAGCACGGGCGTTCCCTCCTGTTGTGGGTAGTCGCGATTCCTGGGCTGTGCCACTCTGTCCCTGCTCTGTTCTTTAGCACACAGGACACTGGCTTGTCGTTGTTGTAGGTCACACTGTGGACAGTGTAGAGAGATGAAAACTAGCATACCTTGAATATGATCCTTTTTCCTTGCCTAGTTGTTGCCCTTCATTCTTTCTTTTAGATCTCTATGGCCCCAGCTTTTTGACACCTAAGTAACAAATTGTCAGGGTGCGAGTGAGTGGAACCCAGTTGCTTGCCTGGGGAAGAGAGCTCAGACTCTGGACATTATCAGTTTTTTGAGGACTTCCTGTCTCATAACGTGAATTTGGGAGACACCCTTACATAATGAAATGCAGCAAAGGAGCCCGTGGTTCAATTAAGGATCCTATTCTATTCTAAGTCACTTATTAATTTTTTTCCTATCATTTTCAGTTTGGATTTCTGGGGGCTTTATTTTATTTTATTTTTTTTAAAGAAGGTTGGCACATTGTTGTAAAGTGTTTCGAGGTTTCCTTTTCTATTCTGGGCATTTCTGGTGTCCTGGAAAGAGAGCATAAGAAAACCTCACCAACCTATTGATGTTAAATGCATTCTTCTTAGGTAGATATTTCCTTTTATTTGCAGTAGTGCTTCTTGTAGAGTCTGTCTTAACATGAACAGCCCCACACGAGCCAGTGTAAGAATGAGTGTGGTTGTGGTTGCATCTGTGTGTGGCTCCTGTCATGTCAGGACTCCCTCGTGTACTGGTGGCCAGCACACCCAGCACGTGCTCTGACTCATGAGCTCCAGGGACTCTGCTTCGCTGATACATCTTAAATTCTTAGGAGGAATTTTCAGTAATGAAAGGCAGACTGAATGTATTTAAACTTGTAGCCACAAACCTAGCCCTTTCCATAATGTAGTCTGATAACTAATAATGGAATGTAATTGACTTTTAAATTTCTGAGGAGGGGGAGGAAAAAAAAAATCCCCAACAGAAGCATTCTGTTCCTGAATGTGATAGACCCCTTTGTTGTCGCTAGACAACCCTGTCACTATTTCCCCCAAGAAAAGAGCTGCGTTGGGCTGTGCTGCACATGTCCCTGGCACTTTGCCTTACCTCCTCTTCCCTGAAAATATTTATGGAGATCTTTTGTATGAATAAATTTAGAAGTGATTTAATGGCTGCATTGGCAGGGTGCGATAAAGCCGTTAAATATGTTGTTGATTTTATTTTTGGTGGGGTGGAAGACGGAAATGAAATACTACATTTTTCCTCTTTGGAAACCTAATACGATGTTCTTTTGTTATCGTTCTTGTTCTCTAGGCATTAAGTGTTACTGAGACCCTGATTAAACCCTTGGAAAAATTCAGAAAAGAGCAACTGGGAGCTGTAAAGGTTTGTGTCTTAATTTGAGTTCACTTGTAAACAGAGAATGTAGGTGCCTCTGCTGCTTGAGTGTACACTTGATTCACATCAGGCAGCTTTGAAAGGGATGTTGGAATAAACCATCTGTGGTTCTATGTTTTAAATGTGCTTTTTTCCCTGGGGCGAGGATATGAAATTGAAAACGAAACAGAAACACCTGGACAGGACAATAAAACCTCTAGTAATCTTCATGGGCGTCACCTTTCCATGTAGTGCTTTAAAAATATCTTTAACCAAACAACACATTTCCTCTGAGGAGAAGCATCTTATATCTGTAGGGCGTGCGGTTATATCCCCGTGTGTGTCCCTTTTATGGAGGACTGTAGCATTGTAGTTGCGTTGAAGATGAGAAATGCTGCTATGCCATGATGCCACTGAAGCTAGGAAGAGGATATTAGGCTATTGGACTATAATCTCGTTCAATTCAACAAAAATTGATTGGGCTTCTCTAACATGTCAATATCGTTATAGGTCCTGGGGAGTCCAAGATGAGTGAACCCCACACTCTGCCCTCAAGGATGTAGAAATGAGCCAGGATTTCTGGGGATAATGCAGTGATGTTGCCACAGGGAGCCTGGGATATATTTAGCAACTTCTAAAGTTTTCTTTAGAACGGAGCTTTGCAATTATCCCGGAGAAATAAATTCCACCAACCTTTCCTGAATTTTGTGCATGTACTTGAGGGAGAAAAAGTAGCATTTGTGTGTTGTTGCCATTTTTAGCTTGTCCCAAGAAGAGGAGAAGAACATCAATTTTAGCTAGGGAAGAGAGTTTTTATATTTATTTTTTTTCTCACATGGCCTGGGGAAGGGGTGGTGGTGGTGAGGTTTTTATTTCTTTTTCTTCCTAAACACACTATTAGAATCCTTTTGTACAAATGAACATTGTGGCCTCAATGGCTGTAGCTACATAGGTGGGCCCACAGAGTACAAGATTTTTTGTTGCTACTTATGGAATAAGTTTTCCTTTAAGTGATTTGTTAAAAAATTAGCCACTTCTTTTTCGTGTAGTATTTTAGTTTTTAATGAAGGGCTGTGTTTTGAGAGGAGGCCAGGAAGTATATACCGCCCCTGGTCCCTTTCCTGGGCTTGTTAGCTGAGCTGCTGCGCAAAGCTGGATTGTGTCGTCCGGCTCTGTAGCAGGATGTTGGAGGTCTGGCCTCACATCTTGACCTAGAGAAGTGATGGGCTTGAGTTTCTTTTCTGTAAAATGAGGAATCTGCCTCATTCTGTAAAATGGGGAATCTGCCTGCTCTGTTTTATAGTTTTATGATCTGTTTTGTCTCCTCAAGCTTTGACTGTTTTAAAGCTTGAACATCTTGGTTCTTTTATCTTTTAAAATGTCATTGGCAGGTGCTGAATGTAAACACTGTCCATTTCTTATTTTTCTTCCTTTTTTTTTTTAAGATTTTTTAAATTTATTTTTTATTGGGGAATTGAGGGGCTGGGAACAGCGCTGGGGAATTGGGGGAAGGGGAACAGACAAGTTGCTGTCCTTTTGTTCTTCAGTCTAGTTGTGGAGGACGTTGCTTCACTGGCCCAAGTTGGCACCATCATTGCACTCTTCCCAGGCGAGGCAGATCAGTCGCCGGCTTCGGACGGCCGCTCACTGCGGCTGCTGGCCGCTCACGCTGGCTGCTGGCTACACACGGTAGCCCATGGCAACCCACTGCCACAGGGGCTGCAGCCTACGCCGTCGCCGGCGACTCATGGCAGCCCAGCTCCAGGTTGAGCTGTTGTTCAGCATCTTAGCTGTGGAGGGCAGTGTCACTGGCCCTCATATGTGGGATCGAACTGGGGCCCTCTGGTGTCCCAAGCCAGTTTTTAACCATCGCGCCACTCGGCCGGCCCTATTTTTCTTCTTTTAATGGGTGATGATGGTGGTGGGTAATGATTATGTTTTGGAAATGAAAATGAGTGTGCCTTAGTGAATAAATGTTTTTTCTTTTTATGTGCCATTCACCCTACTGGGTTTTCTAACTTTCTGACCTTGAATTTTATATTGACTCCTTGTTCCCCCTCAAACGTTCCCAGCTTCTGATGTTGTACTTGGTCAGAGTATATCCCAGAAAGCAACTTGCAAAAGAAATTATCGTATTAATAGGAAGAATTATTTTCATAGTTTTAGTTTATGCCTTGAGCTGGTCACTGGTCAAATTCTATCCTGAAGTCCCCATTTATATTTCTTCATTGTTCTTCTGGCTTCAAGTTTATGAAGGATCCGTCCTACAAGTTCTTGTTCAGCACAGCATGTGTTGCTCTCATATATATTGATGTTACCTTCAGGGAGACCAGTCCTTGTGGGTCACAGGGAGAAGCCCTTTTTTTTAAATTATTATTATTTTTTAAATTTTTATTTTTTAATGGCAGTTTTGTAAATTATAAACAGTAGAGAAAAGTGATTTTCTTGCAATATATAAATATCTGTCTCTTTCATTAGATTGTTAATCTTGAAGAGCTTTATTCCATTATTTCTACCAGCCTCTAGTCTGTCTTATATAAGGTATCTAGTAAATAGCCTGTTTTCCTAATAATACTAGAAGAACAAGCAAAGGGTTTGTAATGTGGATATTTCATTATTTTCTACATCTGTGCTTCCTAAACGTTCAGTCATATTTTGACAAGCATGTGTTCTTACTCCACTGGTTTATCTACTTATATGGGATACTTAAAAATAACTTTATTCTCTTAAGTTAAAGATTGTTTTTTTGAAACAGCATAAAGCAGTTTTCCTGTGGGGATTAAAAAAAAAAAGTCTTTAAAAGTTGACCGCAGCAGAATTTTTTGGATATCAATGTCAAAATGTTTATCTTCTCTTTTCTCTTCTCCTTTTTCCCATCTGGTATTGCCCTACCCTGTGCCTTTACACAGAAGCTCTTTCAGTTCTGTTTACTCTTGTCTTCAGTTTCCAGAATCCCAAATACACATTTAACCTGTGGTTTTAACGTCATCCAAACTGTTTGTTAGGTGGTTTTGTAAATTGGATTTTTTAAAAGCCGCAAGGTGTTATTTTTCTACCGTTGGCTTCTGCATGGATATGTTGTCCTGCAGTCATGTCTGTTTGGTTTGGGCTTATTCCTCCATTCTGTAGGCTCTGCTGCATTTTCTTAGGTGCCTGCCAGGTTCTCATCTCTGTTTACAAAGCCCCACTGCCCATCCCAGGACACAGCTGGGTCTATGCTGTGTCACATCAGGTCTCTGGTCAGGGTTTTCCTGGAGGCCGAGCTCAGTTCTTACCTCCTCTGAAGCCATTACACCTTCCCCAGGAGCTTGTCACTTATTCCGAGGTGTTCATCTCACACTGTGTTGGCAGACAGGAAATAGACACAGGTACCAAACAACGCAGGAGCCCAGGAGATTGCGTGAAAACCTCCAAGGAATACTAGCATCTCATGAGTTATGATGGGAGAATTTAGAATTGCTCTTGCAAATATTTGAGCAATCAAGTAATGAAAACGTGGCTTCAAGCATGCACCAGCCTCATGCAGAGATCACAGGACACAGCTAAACTATGTTGATAGTAGAACCTATTGAAATGCTGTTTTGCACAGAGCCAGTTGCCATTTTAATTCAATACAATAAAGCATTAACCAGAAGGGTTGGAAAAAGTGTTCATTTCATATAATATAAATTACTGCCTCAGTTGGCACCAGATCCTCACCCCAAATTTATTTTATATTTCTTTCCAAGACTACGTCTTATGGCCACATGTTTATTAAAAATTGACTGCCTGAGACTCTGTAACTGACTGCAAGGTATGGGAAAGAAGCAAATCTACCTGAATAATTTTTTAAACAATTAAGTTTGGTAGAATGGAAAAGAATGTTGATTTAATTTAATTATATGTCTTTCATTTTAGTAACAAAACAGTGATCATTGCCTGTCATGTGGCATAGTGTGAGAGGTCCTGGGATACAATTATGAACTTAAACACTGGCTAGCTTTTAAGAAATGGGCAATTCTGTGGGGGAGTTTGTCAAATAAAAAAGCAGGAAACACGCACTGTGAACCATGCTATAATAGCCATAGGTGCTCTGGAACATACCCTGTCAAATCCGCTTTGGTGTGCCAGGAAAGCCTGTCAGAAAGACCCGATGCTTCCTAGTTGGAACCTGTCTCGGCCCCTTAACTAGCTATGTGACTGGGGGCAAGTTACTCAAGACCTCTAAGCCTCAGATTCCCGACCTTTAAAATGAGACCAATGACACCTGTCTCAGAAGGTTGTTTTGAGGATTAAATGTGTTTGATGATGCATTTGCCAAGTCTCATGTAGGGTCTGGCATGCATAGCTGCAGTTATTCTGTTTTATCCCATTTACGGCTTGTTCCCTATCAGCCTGCTCAACAAGCACTGCTCAGGTTTCTGTCCATTCTCTGTGTGCTGGGTTCAGAGGTGACATGCCAGAGCACTGCGCCTTATGACCCTTCTGGCTAAATAGTGCTAAGGTGATGGATAGGTGACTGGAGCAGCTGCACAGGAACCCATGGTGACACTTTGTCATTGTTGGTGCCACTGCAGCCATAGTCTTCGTCCACTTGTCCTCTCGCAGATGTCTCCTGGGCACCTGCTGGTTATGGAGTCAGGTGCTCAGTTCTGTGGGGATAAAAGCTGAATTTTTGTCTCATTGGAGAGGCTGAAGACACTTAAAGGAAAGGGGGAGAGTGGGGTTGGATAACACAAAAAGTGTCAAGTAGGAAGGGTGACATTTGGTGCAGGAATTAAGGGAGGGTGTCGCTTCACAGAGAGGTGGCATTTCACCTGGGCTGTAGGTTGTTGGTGTACTAGGGGAAACTGCCTGGCTTGGCTGTACAGGATTTTGTTTTAAAAAGGTCCTTCTGCTAGGTATATTACGTGTAATAGGAATCGTGTTTCTTGTAAGTGATATCACCCTTCCTCGTTATTAAATAAAAAGGGAGAAGGGTTGGAAGCTTTAAGAAAGTATTAAAGTTTTTCTCTAGACTAGTCATGCCTTATTATTTAATGTTTTAAATAAGCCTTTTTAGTTCCTTCTCCTAGAGGATTTGTAATAGGCAGAAAAATTAAAAAAAAAAGTCATCTAGGAACTTGAAAAAAAAATTCTCCCCTTCTTCCAAAACAAAACAAAAAATTTTAATACCTTATGGAAATGCGGACAATTCACAATTATGTTCAATCTTTTGTGAATTCTTCATATGTCCTTTATCCATTTCCCCATGGAAGTCTTAATGTGTGGTTTTAGCAAAACAGTGCTTAATAAAGAATGTTTTTTTGTTTTATGAATATTTACTTTTCTTAAATATTAATCGCATCTTCTCCCTGCTTTGTTGTTTGCCTTTCAGCTTGTTTATTATTTTTTGATATCTAGACGTTTTTAAGGCTTTTTGTTTCCTTTTTGCTCATAAGGTCCTTCTCTAGTCTGAGATCTGTGAAAATACCCTCTTTGTATGGCTTCATTTTTTTACTTGTGACTTTCAATCCATCTGGAATTAATTTTGGTATGAGATGTGGTTCTCCTTCTATTTCTAAGTAGTTAACCAATTATTCCAGTACAATTGGTTGAATAAATTTTTTTTACCCAGTGTTTTACACACACACACACACGCACACACACACACGCACGCACACATGCGCGCACACACACACACACGTACACACACATTTCTAATGTAGTCAAAGGTCTGATTATTTAAATTTTGTTCCTTAGGTTTATGAATTCCCTCTACCATTGATACAGCATACATCTTATCTGTCTGATTATGCTGTATTAAGTAATAGCTCTTTTTTACTTTTTTAAATTTTTTTATTTTTTGCATGTGTGATTTTACAACTGATTACAAACTGACTTCCTGGGAGTCATATTTAACCTAGAAACAGTTTTGTTTGGCTTACTCATGTTAAAATTAAGAAAAAAATTTGTATCATAAATATCACTGGGTTTTTCAGCTGTTCAAGAAAAATCAGAGAACGTGGTCTGTATTCTGGATCTTGTCTCCATATGACAAATCTGTGGGAGCTGTTATGGCTTCCTTCCCGTCTGGTTTGCCATGTCTTCACTTTCCCTTAATAAGTTTTAATTCCACCTTGCTCCACTCATTATTATTACAACTGACCCAGATGCAGTTGACTTTGTAATGCAGTTTTATAAAAATTTTTTTCATTGTATTTAATTTAGTCCTTGATAGAACCTTTTGTCATATATATGTATATATAAACATATATATATATATATACATATAATGTGTGTATATGTTTGTGTGTGTATATATATATTTTTTTCATATGTGTATGTATATGTATGAATGCAAATCCTATGTTGCAGTGTTAAAGAAATGTTCATATTATTTCAGCACAAAACGTCATATGGGCACAAAGAAACAGAATGCTGTTTAATAATGGCATTGAGAACAACTGTAGGAAGAAATAATTATCTAAGTTTTAAGAGTCACAAACACAAAACACAATAGCATTTGTATGGTACCATACCATGTGTGAACGGACATATGTCCACTCAAATTGGTGGGTGTGATTTTGTTTCTTGGCTAAATTCTTTCTTCAGAGCCTCGATACAACCATTTTCTTTTATCCCCAACTTGACCCACATGTTAATTTACATACACCCCTGTTGCTGAGTGTGCTAGGTGTTTTGATGATGATTTTAGCATCACTTCTGCTTTTGTCTTGTGCTGTGATTCAGAGGAAATCAAATGAGTAAAAATGTTTACAGTGTTCTTTGTAAGTAGTCATCTGAAAAGATGGTGAACATTTTTTACTGTACAATCTTGTGTTACGGTAATCTTCCTGTAAATGCTGTGGCATGACTTCCATTCCTGGTCTGTTTAAACCTGAAAAACGGATGCCCAGAGAATGCTGTGAGAGGGGTACAGAGTCACAGCGTCACAAGTGGCCAGGGTTAGAACCAGAGTCTTTTGCACTCTGTTCTATCAACTTTTTTTTGGAGACTTTGAAACCATGGCCATATGTTTGTTTTATTTGATTTTTCTGTTAGTTATTAACATAGTCGATGAAGACAGTAATAATGAAAAGCAGAAAACAGAGTAACCAAATAGTAATGCCTTAAATTAAAAAGAAATAGTTGTAAATTAAACCTGGGGCATAAAGAAATACTGCTAATGTTTCAAAAAAAATTTTGACTATTTTCATACATAAGTGAACCATAGCATCACAGAATATTAGGATTGGATTTATGAGTGAGCTAAAAAAAAACCAAACCAAAACAAAACAAAACAAAACAAATCCCTGATCTTTTCAATAAGAAAACTAAGGTTCTGTGTTGTTAATTTTATTTATTTTTTCAAAGTTGTGCAGCTAGTTTGTAATGAAAGTTGGAGTAGAAATGGGAAGAGATACCAGTTCCTAAGTCTCTCTTGCTCCGTTAATGTGCGGATTGATTTAGGATCTGTAGGGGAGCTGGCAGAGGCTCTGTCCTAGGTTCCCACACCACCGTTTTGTAGTCCCACATGGTGAAGAAAATAATGATAAATGCGAAGAAATATAATTTATGTGCTTTATTCCATCTCTTTGCCTAATAGCAAAAAAAAAATCACACCAGAAAGGTTTGAACTCGTTCATTATTTTTACTTGAGAAAACAGAAGTTGGAAAACAGGGAAGAAAATGTCCCTTTGCAGGAGGCTTGGAGAGTTAGGGAGAGCTTTCGAGGTAATGGAAACATTTTGAGAGCATGAGGACATAGAGTGCTCTCGTTGGTGCTCGGAAATGTTTACTAAAAAGCTGCTGAAGTTGTTAGTGTTAGGGGAGATAGACTGTGTTCTCTGCATTTAAAGTTTTGGTGACTTGTTTTTTTCATAAGGCTTCTTGTAGCTAAAGGAAAGCAAATGCCAGTTCTAGGCAGTACCTTAGAAATGCTTGTAATGTTATCCTCAGGTCATCGGTATTAACGATATTTTAGGTCTTTTGATAGTATTCTAGAAGTCACTGCTAAGGTTGGGAAGACAGATGACATTTCTGCTCAGTGGATCCTATTATTATATATTCATACTGGACAATTAGGGAAACCCTTTCCCAAGATTGTTTTTTTTTTCCCCAATGTGATTATTTTTTTGTAGAGAGAAAAACTTAGTTTTAAATGAATTTAATTTCCATACCAAAATCTGTAGCAAGTTTGCATTTTTAAGCTTAATGTTCTTATTAGGTGTTCTTTTTAAATTTTTAAAAAATGACAGGGCATTAATTCTGTCATTTAACACTGATAAGGATAAAGAGTTGAAAAATAACAGGCTTGGTAAAAAGCCCATTAAAGGAAGAAACGAAAAGATAAGTGACTCTTCAGTTCCCGTGCTGTCTTAGTGACGACTAAGCAGCAGCCTGGGTGCAGATAGATTTTTTTCAGATAACTTGATCACATTCTATGGTACTTTCTTTTATTTTCATATTTTGAGCTTCCCAGTGGATTTACTATGTGCATGCATTTTTTTTCCCTGTTGAATCATAGTTGTCTGTGTTTTTCTCATTTGTAGGAAGAAAAAAAGAAGTTTGACAAAGAGACGGAAAAGAACTATAGCCTAATTGATAAACATTTGAATTTATCAGCAAAAAAGAAAGACTCACATTTACAGGAGGTATTTTTATTTTTCTGTTAATTTGTTTCTAAAATTTAATAAGCAGGGCATGTCTTTTTAAAAAATTTAAAAAATTTATTGGGGTGGCATTGGTTAATAAGAGTATATAAGTTTCAAGTATACAATTCTATAATACATCATCTGTATTGCATTGTATGTCTATCACCATATATTCGCGTATCTTTTTTTTTTCTAGGTGCTTTTCTTTGAAAACTTTTCATCTAGGATTATTAGAGATGGGAAAAAGTGAACATGTATTCCCATGAATTAAGAAAAAAGTTCTTGTGGAAAAAGACACAAAATAATTAGTGCATCTTCTAGTGATTAAGTATGGAATCATAGTGTTAAAATCTTTGGTTCTGAGTATTTTCATAGGAACAATTTTAACCATCATTACTGAAGAATAGCTATTATTTTCAGAAATAGATTAATGAATTGGCTTTCAAGATTTCTGGAAGAAATGAATTTTAAAAGCTCATATACCATTTTGGTTTTATGTGAAGGGAGCGTTAATCTTATTTAACGCTGAAAATTTAGAAGGTTCTGCTTCATTGGAAAGAGAACATCTGTTTAACTTTTGTTAATAGACTCATTTTTTTTTTTTTGGAGGCAGCCCTACGTAAAGAGAAAGGAATTTATATTCTAATCTCTCATTTTCTCTATCTCTTCTAAAATCCCTGCCACTTGTTTTTCTCACTCACACGCGTGAATGGAAACTCAATGGTTTACAACTTGAAACATATGGTTTCATGAAAAATAATGCTGTTTGCAGCTGGGAGACTGTTGATACACCCCACAAAAATGTTTTTGTTTTTTTCTCCCCTCTTCATTTGTTTATTTTTAAACACATAAAAAATCTGAGTATAATATCCCACTATAATATATATTTATGGAAGTGTCATGAAAAAGACAGTAACAAATTGACTCAAGTATAAACCTAGGTTATATTTAAAATGTGAGATATTTAGTTGCAAACTGGTGTGTGTGTGTGTGTGTGTGTGTGTGTGTGTGTGTGTGTGTGTGTGTGGTCATTTTGACATTACCCACATGTCATTTTCTTTTGTCTCTTTAATACCGTGGACTGACATTTGGATGGCATTTGACAGTTTATAAGAGAGAAAGGAGCTTTTATACCTCTTAATCCTCACTCCTTGTTCCATATTGTATAGGAAACCATGCAGTCGTGGCATCTGCTCCCTCATCTCCTATTCTCTGTCAATTTTAAAATGACAGCTGTTGTTTTTATAGGCTGTCTTTATGCTGCCTCTCTTCTCCGCTTATCTTTATTTTCAGGTATCCTGAAGGGATTTTCATGCCCGGAGTTAATTTCCATTTTCCACTTCACTGTTGAGTTAGGTTATCTCATTCTAAGTGTTGCTTAGGCAAGATCTTTAGAGCCATCCTTGGCCCTATCCCTCGCATCCCACACCCAGCCTGTTGACTGTCTGCTTCCGTTTCAGAATAGACTCAGAGTATAGCCACTCCTCCTGACTGCCATCACCCTGGCCCAGCTGCTGGCATCTCTCCACCGATTACTGCAAAGGCCTCCTCATTAGTTTCCCTGCTCCCGCCAATGGATTCCTACAGTTTATCTTATATACAACAAGCAGAGTGAGCCTTCATGCTGGTGCTCCTGTGAGCCCCTTCTAATAGCTCTCTCCAAGGCTCGGGGCCCCACCCCCCATCCTCACACCTCCATGGAGCTATACTCCTCTCCGAGTTTCTTTCTAGTTAGACAAGATTAGCTGGGACCTTTCTTTGGAGAGGTCCCCTGACTACCTGGCGCCCATTCCCTCCCAGGGAATAGGACTATGTGAACCTACGAACACAACTTCCCGAACTTGGGCTTTAGGCTCTGACCTGCCTTCGAGAGCCCTGGAGCTGAGGTCCACTGCTGCCACATTCTCACCTGCCGCCTTCACTCACGAGTGCTGATGTGACCGGAATTTCCCCAACCCTCTTTCCCAGGCTGACTGCAGACTTGGAGGATTTGTTAATGGAAATCATGTTTATGTGATTCGGATTCTGTGTGTGTAGCTCAACCTTGGGTGTGTGTTGTTTGGGTGAGGTTTTCATGAAGAGCCTTACTGTTTGATCCTCAGTCCATGGAGGTCAACGTCATCTATAGAGCAGGAGTCGGCAGACTTTTTCTGCAGAGTCAGATGGTAAATTTGCAGACCGTGAGGTCCCTGCTACCTACTTAATTCGGCTGTTGTAGCAGAAAAGTAGCTATAGAAAGTCCATAAACGAACAGTCGTGTCTATGTTCCAGAAAGCTGTATTTAGACAAATAGGGGGCAGACTAGTGTTTCGCTGACCTCTGATCAAGAGCTTCACCCCTCACTGGCTCTAATTTGACCAGCCTCAATCCTTTTAACGCAGGCAGACATCCAAGTGGAGCAGAACCGGCAGCACTTTTATGAACTGTCCCTTGAATATGTGTGCAAGCTTCAGGAAATCCAAGAGAGAAAGAAGTTTGAGTTTGTGGAACCTGTAAGTATTATAGCAGGTTGTTTGCTACTGGATCTTGGTGAGAGCATAGACATGTTTTTCTTCTTAGATCTCATTTATGGTTGCTTAGAGGCCATGGTGCAGACATATGAAGCAAGACATCACAAATTGTCAAAAGGGGACACAGATAGCCAGAAAGGCGAGGAACCGCCAACTGAGCCTTAGCTGCACAGCAATATGCAATGCACAGTGTTTCTTTTGCTGCGGGGTCTCAAGGATTCTGAAATCAGATGCATTTTCTGCCGTCCTATTGTAGTTCCACCCTTTAATGAAAATCCCTGTAAAAGAATTTATGCTGGAATGTGGGTGAGAGTGGTGGTGTTGGTGGGATAAACATCACTCCACGTAAGTTTGTTTCTGAAGCACGTACACCAATCTAGACTTTGACACTTTCAACAATTACTGGTAATGAATTATTTCTAATAAGAAATCACTATGCTTTTGGCAACCTAAGTTAACTAGTGTGTGGAACATTTGAAACTATTGTCAAAAAAGCCATGATGTGTTTTTTCTATGTTTTTCATTGCAAAAATGCATCATGACTTCTCTGACAACCCAATATTTTGTGAGTCACTCTGACATTTCTTTGTACTTATTTTAGAAACACATGATTTTTGTTTGTGCTTATAGATATGTATTCCAATAGCTTCAGTAATTTATGTATTAAGATATATGCACATATATGAATATATTTATCTCCTGAATCAAAATGTAAAAGATATTTCATACTGTGGGGTTTAGCAAGAAAATTGAGAAACACTGGAATTCATGAGTCTCAAGATAAATTTAATTTGAATATAGATGTTTGTGTAATTTTTAAAATATAGCTTTATTGCAATATAATTCACACGCTTTACAATTTACCCATTATGTGTATAATTTTGAGAAACAAAAAGTAATCAAGTAATGATTAATTAAAAATTGACATCCATAGGGCTGGCCGAGTGGCTCAGTTGGTTAAGAGCTCGCTCAAGAGTTTGAGCTCTGAGCAACAGCGGTTCGATTCCCAGCCCGAGCTGAGCAGCTGCTGAGCTGCCAACAGGCAGCAGGATGGCTCAGCTTAAAAAAACAAAAACAAACACAAACAAACAAACAAACAAAAATTGACATCCATGGAAGCTAAAGTTCAGTTGGAGTAATAGAATGAACCGAAATTAGAGAAAAAAAATATCCTTCTTAACGCTTTCTTGTCATGTGAAATAATGGACTACATTTATAGAGTATTTACAGTGCTCTGTCATTGTTCATGTCATTGTGCTGTGTTCATGCATTTTATTCCATAGAGTGGATAAGGAGATGTTTTTATTATCTATGCATATATGGAAACGAAGTAGGGGAAGTTTCAATAATTTGCCCAAGGTGTCATAACACGGTTGAAATTGGGAATTCACCCTTGCTGGCGGGCCCCTTGGCTCAGAGTCCCAAATTCCGAATCATTCCCCTATGTGACATTCTTCAGAAAATGAATTTCAGGATTTCCTTAACTCTCATACCAAATCATTTTTACTAACGTAGATTTAATCATATGTGGGCAGGAGCCCCTGCTTTCTCATCGAGAGGGGTAGGGGAGAGTTGGTAGGGCTTAGTTACCGCCTGCCTTTGCCCCAGTCACCACCGAACATCCTTGTCACCAAAGCAGAGAGGTTGCCCTAGATGCCATTTGAAAGAGCCTTTAGCTCTTTGATCCTGTGATTTCATTTTCCTTATAGATTCTATCGACCTACAGTGATAAGGTTTCAATTATAAATGAACATAGGTGTTCTCTTGATTAAAGACAACAAACAGATGATGCAGAATTCTGTTTATTCTACACAGCATACTATAAGAGCTGTCTCATGGCTCTGATATTTAAAGACAAATCACAAACCCTTCGTTTTTTATAAGGACAAATTCATAAATAATATAGTTAGATTTAATTGAATTTTAGTGACTTCCTTTTAAGTGTACTTTCGGTAGAATCATAGTGAGATATGGGGGGGGGAATATGTGGCTGTGTTTATTGTTTTTTTTTTTGTTTTTTTTCCCCAAGTTTTTTTTTGTGCTAATGTCATTCCTTCTTTGTCACAGATGCTGTCATTTTTTCAGGGAATGTTTACTTTCTATCATCAAGGCCATGAACTTGCCAAAGACTTCAATCATTACAAAATGGAACTACAGATCAACATTCAGAATGTAAGGACATGAAAGCTTTCTGGTATACCAGATGTTTGCGATGTGTAGCTTTCCTGTTTGTTAGATGAAAAGCCTTGAGCTGAGACCAGGCTGATCCCTTGGTACTGAGAAGCCGAGGCTGCGTTGCCACCTTCTGGCCACTTCTCAGTATCACAAACTCCTCTTCAACTAGGTGAGGTTCAGGGAATTCTGCCACCTGGTGGCTCTTTTTATTTCACGTCATTTATTTTTCTGTGGTTTTCGGAAGAGTCACTAAGTATGTTTTTATAATCAAAAGTCATGAAATTTGTTTATTTTTAATTTTTAGCTCTCCAGTTTTACTGAGATATAATTGACAGACAACACTGTATACGTTTAAGTTATAGACATAATGACTTGACTTACGTATATGGCAAAATGATTGCCACAGTAAGTTTAGTGAATACTCATCACCTTATATAGTTACCCCCGATTTTTTTTTCCTGGTGATGAGAACTTTTAGGATCTACTTGTCAGCTTTTAAATACCCCATGTATAACTGTTAACTATAGTCATACTGTACTTTCTGTAGCAGTGCTAAGGATAAGCTTTGTTAAGTAACTCCTGAGTCCGAAGTAGACAAAGCAGCCTTCTCCTTAGATGTAAGGCAGTTCAATTATAATGATCTGAGTTTTTTTTTTTTTTTAGCTGAGCCATCCTGCCACCTGTTGGCAGCTCAGCGGTAGCTCAGCTCCGGCCGGGCATCGAACCACTGTTGCACAGAGCTCAAACTCTTGAGCGAGCTCTTAACCAACTAAGCCACTTGGCCACCCTCTGAGTTGTTTCTTTTACCTGTATATCGTACATGAATTTTTTTCCCAAGTAGATTTATGGCACAAGAGGAATTTTGTTCCTGTGTTTTAGGCATCTTCACTAATGTATTGGGTTCACAGTTGCTGTTTGCTTTATTATTTCCCTGGAAAATGTAGGCTTTCTATTAGGTATTGGATAAAGAGGTTTTGGGGAACTTTACGTGTTACACAGGATAATGTATGTGATTTTGATCAGAAGGTGATAGATGTTTTCCCTCTCAGTGCTGTAGTTGATTTTGGAAGTGTCCTCATGGAAAAGCTATTCAAGTTATGTTTAGTATAATTTTATGCTTTGTGAGAAAGACAGTGGGTGAGTTTTGGGACAAACTCCTAGTGCATACTCAAAAGACATTTAAGTAGAAGGTTGGGAATCTCTGTACTGTTTGCTGCCTGACTTTAAATTTCTTAAAATCTTAGAAGTTTTTGGTGTAGATTATGTTTCTACGCTTTTTAGTTGGCCACACTTGGGAATGTAGGTAATATAATCGCTTGAATTTTGTAAATCATGTGCCAGTTTGTATTTGCATATTGTTTGAACAATCTATAATCAGCTGGATTAAATGACTAAAAGAGCAAATGCCCCCCCCCATCAATGCCTATAATGTAACAGAATTTTAAAAGTAAAACACAATGTATATGTATAGATTAGTTCTAACGTCAAGATATCGCTGTAGGTAGGAGAACATTTAGTCTATTTAGTCTAGTGGTTTTGCGACTTTTCAGAATATTTTTGCAGGCAGCAGAGCACAGTGTGGTAACAAGAGCATTCCATAGTTTAGAAGATCAGATTGTAATTCTGCTTTCTTCCTTCCACTAACTGGCTGACTGGTGGAAATTCACTTTTTCTGTCTGGACCTCATGTCTCCAGGGCAGGGCTGGCCTTGGCGAGAACCTTCAGACAGAACTGGCTCCAAAATTGTGGGGCCAGTGTCAGATGAGCAGGCAGGGCCCCTTGTTCAACAATGAAGCATTTCAGGGCAGCGTCAGAGCATTAAACCAAATGGGTGACCTGAACACAGGTCCCTGTGTGACTGCATAGGCTACACGTCTGCACATCTGGGGTGACTTGGACAGAAAAGATCAATCTGGGACTCCTTTTTTGAATCAGAAAGTAAGGGATTACTCAGAATTAAGGGGCGTGTCAGAAGACGCAGGACCCAGCCAGAAGACACCCCACTGGTCAAATCTAGGACAATGTAAGAATTAACATAAATAATGAGAGTATTGGATACAGCTCATTGGGTAAATAAGTGTGTGTGTGTGTGTGTGTGTGTGTGTGTGTGTGTGTGTGTGTTGGCATCTATATATGGCATGCATATATGTGTATGTATATCTATATATAAATAACACACACATATATACACACATGGTGAGAAGTGAGTATTGGGGGGAATCTCAGCAAAGTGATGAAGAAGGTGAATAAAGCCAGGGTATAATCAGTATTAAGATGGGGCCATGAAACCGTGGAGACATGAGACCCGGGAAGGTGAGAGGGAACAGGCCATCAACAAATGAGTCCCTGTCTCTTTGTGGTCCTATAACTAGTCATTTTCATCTTAGCTCCTCCACAGTTTCACATTAGCAGTTTTTCGGTATTAATACAGTTATTGTTGAACATGGGTGAAGGAGACATTCAGAAACTCACTGGTGCTGAGTCATCACAATCACATGAACGTTTTCAGTGTAGCCACTTGACAGAGATATTGGCAAGCCAGGTTGCCTGTGTTTCAGAAATGTGCTTGGTCACCTCCGATGTCAGAGACATTATTTATAGGTGAGATTTTTTTTTTCTTTTCCTCTTTGTGAGAACTGTCGTTTTCAAGTGCAATTGCCTTGATCTCGAAAAAATGACACTCATGTTTGTTTAAAAGAAGAATTACGTTTTTCAGATTCTGATCACTTAGACATGTTGCTGATATAAGGATGATAATGAATCAGATTGATTGTTGCAAAGGAAAGACTTTGCAGATGGATATTTTATGACCTATTACTCTTTCAAGTCTAAGATTCAGTACTTTTGTGTGACTTGGATGCAGGGATTCTTACGTTGAATGATAGAATTATCTTTTTTATTAGTTTCAGATGTACAAAACAATGTAATAGTTAGACATTTATACCGCTTACAAAGTGAAATCCCCCCTCCCCCAATCTGCTACCCCTCTGACATTGTATGTAGCTGTTATAATACCACTGACACTATTGCCTGCACTGTATTCCACATCCTGTGACTATATGTATATATTATAGTTGACATTATTATTCAGCTTCAGCTTCAGGTGTACAGCGCAGTGGTCAGGTGTACACCATCCATGAAGTGGTCTCCCTAATAAGATAAATGTCCATCTAGAATTATTCTTGATATTAGCAAGGTTCAAAAGTAACCCCCAGTTACCTTGACTCCCCTCTTAGCTACTTTAAGTGGTAAAGTAGTGATTTTTTTAATCTTTTCTCAACAAAGAGACACAATGGAAAGGATGGGTGTGTTTTGAGAAATTAATAGAAGAATGCTACAAATTTAATTATAGTTATCTAGAGACATATAAGCGAAAAAAAAATCACATGTGTGATTAAAACTTACATGTGTTTTTAATCTCTTTCAGACACGGAATCGTTTTGAAGGAACACGCTCAGAAGTGGAAGAGCTTATGAACAAAATCAGACAGAATCCCAGGGACCACAAGCGCGCAAGTCAGTTCACAGCAGAAGGCTACCTGTATGTACAGGAAAAAAGTAAGAGGCCTCCAATAGTAATGAATGTCTCATTAAAAAGTATCTTCAAACCTCTTATTGTCATTGCTCTGATATTTTTGGAGTAATTATTTGTGCCACTTTCTTTGCCCCCTCCTATCCTAGAAGGGGTCTTTCACATTTTTGGGGAAGACACATTCCTGCTTTAGGGAGGGGGCAGTGAGATTAGGAACTCAGGGAGCACCCTGCTTTCCAGCCACAGCCCTGGATTTCGCACCCCACTGTTAAAACTTGCTTAAAAGGGAGTCAGAGCTAGGTGTAAGGATGAAAAACGAGGCAGTGTGTTCCCTTTTCCTCCTTTTGCCTCACCCCTATCCTTACCACCACCACCACACATGCACACGCACACGCACACGCACATGCACACACATACATATACACACATATACACACACATATACACACACATGCACACACACCTACACTCACACATACATGCACACACATGCACACATACACACATATACACACACATACACACATGCATACGCATACATATACACACATATACATACATACATATGCACATACACACATGCACACACATACACACACATACACACATGCACACACACATACATATACACACATACACACACATACACACTCACATGCACACACACACCTACACTCACACACACATACACACACACGCACACACACATATACACACATGCACACACATACACACACATACACACACACTCACATGCACACACACCTACACTCACACACACATACACGTACACATGCACACACACAGACATACACATATACACACGTACACACACATACACACACGCACACACATATATACACATACGCATACACATACATATACACACATATACACACATATACACATACACACACATGCACACACATACACATACACACACACATACACCCCCCCTGTATCAGGGTTTCTTAACCAGAGCATTATTGACATTTTGGATTGGGTAATTCTTTGTTATCTGTAACGCTGTCCTGNCACACACACACACACGCACGTGCGCGCACACACACACTCATATACAGTTGTCCCTCAGTATCCTTGAGGGGATTGGTTCCAGGACGCCCCCAGGTACCAAAACCCTCGGGTGCTCATGTGCCTTATATAAAATGGTGTAAACCAATGCACGCTGCATGTGCACACCCTCTGGTCCTCCCGCCCCCCTCCCCCCACCACCCTGCTTCTCCGTGTTCAAGTCAAGAGGGACGTCCTTCCTCTTTTTCCGTCACATCCTTTCTTTCCATGTCAATCTGAGATAGCTTGTTCTTACTGTAGTTATCAGGTTGATTGCAGGTGGCTATAAAGAATGCCTTCAAGTCACTTTTGTGTTGTTGAAAACGAATAGGATCTTTTCTCAAATGATCTCTCTGAGCCTTCTTATTCCCCCTAATTTTTCCCATTTATTAGAACCAGCAGTGTTGCTGATTTGTTTCCTTGCACTGCCTTAGTTGCTGCTTTATTAGGTTTTTTCCTCTTGAATAATGTGCGTGGAACGCTGCGTATTTGCTTATGTAAGAGGAAACCTCACAAGTTCTGTGTCTCGTTGCAGGGCCTGCTCCATTTGGCTCCAGTTGGGTCAAGCACTACTGCATGTATCGGAAAGCGGCCAAGAAATTCAACATAATGCCATTTGAGCACAGATCTGGGGGGAAACCTGTAAGTAATTTGATTTTATGCTTGGTATTCTATGTGAGGGAGTCTTGGAGGGTGTTGGTATTTATATTCACTAATGATAAAGACATTTTATTTTGTTTTCAGGATTGAAAGCTTTTTCTTTTGTTTCTAAATAAAATAGGCCAGAAAACAGTTTGTGTTTTTTTGATGTGAGCACGTGGGTTTTTATGGTCAGATTTTTTTTTTTCAATATTAGAGTAGAATTCTTTTATGCCATTGTTATTGGAAGATACGGTTAACACCTACAACAAGCTTTCATGAGTCAGTGGTCTGTCTTTACACAGAAGACTTGACGTGCACACGTATATTCATGCCCTGAAAACATGATAGAGTTTTCATGTTCGAAATGATAAGAGTATCATGATGGTACTGTTTTGCACTTAGACTTTCAAAGATCTCACGTAGGTATTCCCCATTTAGTTCACTTCTCCCACAGCAATAGCAAAAATGATGCATGACAGCAAGAAAAGATCAAGTAGCCCATGGGTGTTGGCTGTGTAGGAGAGGTGATCTTTATATTTGTTTTAAGTAGAACCTGCAGCTCATAGCAATACTCAGGAGTCTGGAGACAAAGATCTTTCCACCAGTATTGAACATCATTGGTAAAGCATTTAAAAAAAAATTTTGTTGGGGAACAGTGGTTTTTCCAGGATCCATCAGCTCCAGGTCAAGTAGTTAGTTGTTTCAATCTAGTTGTGGAGGGCGCAACTCAGTGACTCATGTGGGGATCGAACCAGCAACCTTGGTGTTACAAGCATTGCGCTCTAACCAAGTGAGCTAACCAGCCGCCCTGGTAATGCATTTTAAGAAAGAAGATTAATTCATTGCTTGCTGGGCAGATAGGCATGATTTTGCTTGTGTGAATACAGAACTAACCCAAGTTCATGTCTATTTACATATACCTTGTATCTTCCTGAAAAAAAAAAAAGCAGCTTTTAATACAAGTACATTTGTGTGGTAATGAAGTAGACTTGGAAACTCAGGGCTATGGAGCAGGGGAGGAAGTGGGGATGCCTCTCTGAAAGAGGGCGGGGTTAGGATTGAGGGTGAGGTTTGAGGCTGTTTCTGTCAGAGCTAACTCAAGTCCTAAGGTATGTCTGCTCAGCGATGCCTTTCTCTTTTAGCCACCAAATAATTAAAAAAAAAGTACATATTAGAATATAGTGACTGTGATATTTTGAATGTTTTGTATATTTGAGTGCTTAATATTATGTGGAGATCCTCATATTCTAGAAAATGTTGAAATATTCTGTAAGTGTGAACTCAGGTTTCTTACAGTTGTACCGAGGACCTGTGTTCCCTCATTGCTTCTGCCTTCTCCCTCTTTTTAATGCTTTTAGAGAGGATGGCTTAGTGAGCTAAAAAACTTGAGAAAAGGTACCTTACGCAGGGTGGTTCATTTAGGAAATACGGAAGCCGCACAGATTCAGTGGTCCTGCCTTTAGATTATCACGATAGCTGACGCAGGGCCCTTTTAGACAGGTTCTGTAGGTCAAAAATGGTCACATGCTGGCTTTTTCATGTGGCACATGTAAGTAATATGAAATAAAAACAAATTAACATTGTTAGAAGAGGACAGTAAGAGCATGACAGATATTCTGGCATGTAGAAACTGTTGAGTTAATCCTGCTTTTAGAGTGAGCGCACATGAGGTCTGGTTTAATGCTACGTCATCAAAGCAGGATCTAGAAAACCTTAAGAAAAGGAGAATGGCAGACATGGTTAAGATTCTGAGTAGTGTTTAAATTAGTTTGAATGAGGGTAGGATAAAGGGGACTTCAACTCTTCTCCCCCACCCCTAATATAGGATGCCTCGGTGTGTACGCGTTGGCACTGTCATGTTTGAGGATGTTTAAAATGATTATTTGCAGGGGGAAGTAGAGGTGTTCTATTTGAAAGAATGTGCCAGAAGGCCTACTGACTCCATTGACAGAAGATTTTGTTTTGATGTAGAAGCTGCTGACCGGTAAGTTACTGGAATTACTGGATTTCATGAAAGAGTCATTTTTAAAAATGGTTTAAAAAAAAATGGAGGTAAATTGCAATGGAGATTTCTAAGACCTGAAAGAATGTGATCTTATTACATTTCTGGGCAGTGTTTTATTTGTTGGGAGCTGTTTAGTCTTGGTCACTATGTTTAGCCGAGAGGTGATAGTGTAATCTTGGATGATGTTTGGAGTCATTCTAACCAGTGTGGTCAACTTATAAAATAATCCGGGAGCATTTCATGGTTCATCCAAGCCTACTGGGTGGTGCTAAGAGAATACTGAGTACAAGTGGTAGCGTGGATGGCAAAGCTAAACAGAGGCGGTGGTGGCTCTCGGTACAGAACGATACTCATTTTTGCATATGGGAATTTACCGTGTACGGACTCTGTATGTGAGAGAGGGTCCTAGCCGTGCTTTGTTTATTAAAAGACTAGTGTTTTTTTCTTATTGTATGACTTTCACTTATTTAATTATAAAAGAATCTTTGCCAGAGAAAAGGAAGTAAGGAAAAGAAAAAAGTTCACCTGTGTGTATTCTTGTCTGGCATTTAGTCTGTGTCCTCCTGTAGCACCAAGGAAAATCGTGGTACTCCATGCGTGTATGCGTGTGTGTGTGTGTGTGTGTGTGTGTGTGTGTGTGTGTGTGTTTCCTCGCAAGCTCTGTGGTATTTAGATGAGACTGTCATATTTGTATAGTAAAACTTGATGAGACTTTTTAAAACAATAGTTCATTTCAGGTCAGGACCCAAGAATACAAAAATAAGTAATGTTCCGTCTTTCCTTAGATGATGTGACCGAGTAAGTGGGATTGGTGTAGAGAGGGAAGATTGGTGCTTTACTTTCCAATAAATGAATTGAAAACCAGGCACATAAAAACACGCCATTCAGCACCGTGATAAATTTGGCACTACCATGAAAAGGACAGGTGGTTTAGTGAGCATTTCACCAAGAGTGATAAAAAATGAAAGAGAATGTCAGTGCAAAAGAGGTGAAATTTCAAGCTAGTAAGGACTGGTTCAAAAGCTTTGCGAGGAGGTTTTGGCTGAGTAATCCAACTTGAGCTTCCCATGTTGAGCATGTGTTGAGTTCTTTCTAAGCGCCAGACAATGTTCTAAATTCTTCTGGGCTTTACCTCATTTCATCCTCACCACACCTCTGTCAGGTCGATATTATCCTTCCTGTTTGATGATGGGAAACGGGGACATAGAGGGCTTGAGACCAGCTAGGATGTGACAGAGCTGAGACTTGAACTCCTGCATTCTGCCTCTAGAGCCCAAGCTCTCAACCACTATGCTGTCGGCCTCAGAGTATTTATTACCTTGTAATTGTGGTATTTCCTAAATAATGGATGAAGGTGAGTCAGCAGTGATGTCTACTAGCAAATGTGCTGAAGGAGGTGAATCTGATTTGTTTTGAAAGTAGGGGACCTCCAGTTCTTTATACATTGTTTTAATATAACTTGTATTATTTTTGCCTAACTCCATATTCCCTCTAAACCTTGATCATGCCTAATGCTCTTCTTCAGCCTGATCCTTCTGATGACTGCAACCTCTTCCCACCCCTTGCAAAGATTAAGAGGGAACATTATGGAGTTATTTTTATCTATTAAGGAGAATACCTTATAAAGAGACTCTCAGAACTGGGGAAGTCCTTAGAAGTGGTCTACTCTAGTGGTTTTCAAACTGCTTTATAGGGAGACCCTCTTAAAATGTTATGCATATATAAAACAGAAAAAAAAAGCTTCCCTATTAAAGTGGGGTAGGATGCCTGGACTCCTACCCTTTCAGCTTCCTCTGGCAGAAATCTTTAATTATATTGATACCCAGAGCTTCTTTCTAGGAACCTGTGGCAGGGAGACCACTAATCTAATCTAGATGATTAAAGAAAGGCTTACAGAGGATCAAACATCTAAATGGATAACTGAAAGATTATTTGGAGTCAGCGGGTGGTTGGGACTTATATTCTAGGCAGAGTGAACAGCATGCGTGAAGGGCCTGGAGACAAGGATGTGGCGCATTTGAGGTCCCTGGAGATGCCCAGCGTCACTGGAACAGAGAGATCCAGGGAGAGTGGCAGAGGGGTCCGGAGTTGGGGGCAAGGGCTGACCTTGAGCTGTTGAGTTTAATTCATTAAATGGTTTTAAGCAGGGCAGTGAGTGACATAATCATATTTTTCAAAACTCACTCTGGCAGAGAAAGGTTTGGAGATGGCAAGAGTGGATGAAACGGCTGTGAATTGGTGTGGTGGCAGCGGGAATGGAGGCTAAGGGATCCACTTGAAGGGATTTTTAGAGATAAATTTAGAAATAAATTGGATGTTGGAGTCTAAGGTAAAGGAGGAGGTTTCTGGCTTGAGCAACTAGATGGCGCCGTTTGCTAAGATGGAAAACCCAGGAGGGCTAAGGATGCAGGAAGAAGACTTCAGTTTTGTCATGTTGAGTTAGATTGCTGTGGCTTGTTCAGTAAGAAACCCACTTGGCAGCTTCAGCAGCATCTGGCTTGGTCTTACCTACTACCTCCTGCAACTTGCTGAGCATCCTGCGACTTCTGTGACAGTGAACCATGCGGGTTCCCCCCAGAGTTCTGGGGTCTCGCAATGGTTGCCTTCTCTTTTTTTTTTCCTAAAGATTTTTTATTGGGGAATTGGGGGGATGGGAACAGTGCTGGGGAGTTGGGGGAAGGGGAACAGACAAGTTGCTGTCGTTTTGTTCTTCAATCTAGTTGTGGAGAACGTTGCTTCACTGGCCCAAGTTGGCACCATCATTGCGCTCTTCTCTGGTGAGGCAGATCAGTCGCCGGCTTCTGGACGGCCGCTCACTGCGGCTGCTGGCCGCTCACGCTGGCTGCCGTCCGCTCATGCTGGCTGCTGGCCACACACGGTAGCCCATGGCAACCCACTGCAGCAGGGGCTGCAGCCTATGCCGTCGCCGGCGACTCACGGCAGCCCAGTTCCAGGTTGGGCTATTGTTGAGCATCTTAGCTGTGGAGGGCAGTGTCACTGGCCCTCATATGTGGGATCCGAACCGGGGCCCTCTGGCGTCCCAAGCCAGTTCTTAACCATCGCGCCACTCGGCTGGCCCTGGTTGCCTTTTCTTTGTCTATCCCTTCACATCCTTTGACCTCCAAAGTGTATTTCTCTACAATCTGCGTCTTTCTTACCTTTTTCTGTGTTTTGAACTGCTCTTTGAATCTTGAGCTCCTTATCTGGCACATCTCCAATTCTCCTTTTATAATTCTTGGTACGTTCCATATCACTTTAGACTATCGCTTTGTCACTTCGCTTATTGACTCCTTTGAACTCCTCTCTGTCATCTTGTTCTTTACCTGACTTCAACCCTTCCTTCTCATGATCATTCCTTGGATCTTCTCATCATGAGGACCTGCAACCCCATCTGTAATCTCAGTTGCAAGGCTTTCTTTCTGTCACCACCTTCTAGCCTTCATTGCTTACTCTTTTCTAGTAAGTAGCCTTGGATTCCCCCAGAGTCCTGTAATCAGTTTATCTTACTGTTCTCCAGCCCCTGCACTCCCTCACTGCTTTTTGTACCTAGTTTAAATTTCATAATCATTATAGTTGCTTTATTAAATACACTGAACTCCATTGCCCATCTCTTCCTTTATTATAACTTCTTGCGCAACCCTCTTAAGTAAGATTCAACTCTTTTCTCTTCCTAGAGAGATGTTCACTGGGATCACTTCAAATTCATGACCAGTAGCCTCAAATATGCCATTAGTTTTACTAATTGTAATACATTTTCTTAGTTCCTTCTTTGACCTGGTTGATGAATATTTCTTATTTTCCTCTCGCTCTAAATCTCTGATACTGCATTCCTTTGCTGATGATTTTCTGTCCTATTTTGTGTGTGTGTGTGTGTGTGTGTGTGTGTGTGTGTGTGTGTTAAACAGAACCAACTATTGGGTTGTTGGAAAAGTCATGACGCATGTTTGCAACGAAAAACATAGAAAAAAATACATCATGAATTTTCCGACAACCCAATAGAAGAGATTGTCCACGGCCCCACACTCACGTCCTCGTCAGAGCTGATGCCCTGCCTTGCGTCCATTACTGTGTGAGCTGAGCTGTATGTTCCCGAGGCCACACGCCTCAGTTGTTTGTGTTCTCGCTTCTCATTCTCTGTCTGCTACTCCAGAACATCCCTCAAGCCATCCTTCCTTTGCTTTCTTGTTAACATTAGTTTTGTCCTTTCTACTGGATTATTCCCATCAGCATAGAAAATACTCTTATTTCATCCATTTAAAAAAAATAGCATCACCACCACCAATGAAAATACCCTGTCTTGACCAGTCTTCTTTTTCATCTACTGCCCATTTCTCTCCTCTCTATAAACAGCAAAGATCCTTCAGAAAACTATTATATTAAGGTCTCAAATTTCCTTCCTCCTATTTTCTTTTGAGCCCCCTCCAGTCAGGCCTTTGTCTCACCTCTCCACTGTGATTTATTTTTTTTCTTGAGGTCATCATGATCTCCATGTACTGTGCCCAGTGGTCCGTTCTCAGGGCTCCTGTTCTCCTGGCAGCAGCATCTGACGTGGCCACTCACTTAGCTCACTTAGCTCAAGGACATCCTGCCTGCCTGATATTTTTTCCTGCCACCCCACTGGCATTTCATTTTTTAGACTCCTTTGCCAGCTCCTCATTTCCTCGACCTCTTAATGATGGAATTCTCTGGAGCTTGGTCCTTAGATATCTTCTCAGTAACTCTAACCCCATGGTGTTGTCCAGCCTTGTGACTTTGTCATTCATATGTCGGTAACGCCCAAATTTATTATCTCTACCTGGATCTTTACCCTGAACTCGAGGTTCTTATACCCAGCTGCCTGCTCAGTATTGCTTCCAGGGTGTCTAATAGACATTTTGAATAGTGCAGAGGTGGGAGCTATTGTTTTTTGGTAAAATTTCCAAGAACTCATGGGAAAGAGAAAAGGCACACTCTGTTGGATCCAACATTGTATGATATAT